AAAAAAAACATGGCCCACCCTAAACCCTTAACCCTAAACCACATAGAACCCAGTTTCCAGTTCCTAGTCCCTAGTCCCTACGCGGACCTTCAGCTCTTCCTGAAAGTCTTGTTGCGTCTGCTCCTGTCCATGCGCACCGGTTAAAAAGAACACTGATGTAGGGTTTAGAGATTAGGGTGAAGGGTTAGGGTTTAGGGATCAAGGTTTCGGGATTAAGGTTTAGGGTTTAGGGTTTAGGATTTAGGGTTTAGGGATTAGGGTTTAGACACGCGCATCGCACTTTAGGCTTTAGGGTTATAGTCCCCCTTAAGTAGATAGAATATGGGGAATATGGGGATCTTATTATAATATACCCAAAGCCATATAAACCAAGTTTCCTGGGTGTAAGGACTCCGAGAAACATGCAAAACAGGGGCCTCTACTTGTTTGGAGGGGTTCTGAATCTAAACCAGGCATTGAAGCTGATGGCACCCTTTTTGTAGGTCGTAGATATTGCTTTCGAATCAACCCTGCGATGAATGCTTGCACGACACTCTTTCGGATCATCTTTCTGACAGGGCATCTGCTCGCGCGAGCGCCGCACAAAAATGATGTGTCAGTGATGCAACACAACTGAAAACACCATGTGTCGCCTTTCTGTGCCCAAGCCACAGCCCCTCTCAACAACTGCCTATACCGGCAAGGAGTTACTTCTGCTTCTGATATGGCCTTGCAACCATTTTAGGTTTGGGAGCACATTGCTGCGGAGCCTATGCAAAACCCAGGCCTCACATCAACCCCTTTCTGAGAGGTTTAGGGTGCCCTTGGTAATGACCCAAGAACTGATCATTTTTTCAACATGACTGAAGCCATCGACTTTATATGGTAGTTTCCCTTAATATGGGGACCCCAATATAGACCCCCAACATACTATAGTCTTCTAAATTGGGACCCCCAATAATGGTACCCCCTAATTTTGGGAAACCCCCAAATCGGCGCCGCTGGTCCTTGATGAGCCTCTCCCGCTCCCTGAGTTGCTCCGATGCTTCTGCAACCTCGAGGCTGCAGGCAGAGCAGAAAGCTGCTTCGAGGTTGAAAATATAGGAATACAGGGAATACAGGGAATATTGGGGATATATTGTGGATACTGGATAAGAAAATGGAAGCTACTATGTAGGGTTTGGGGTTTAAGGTTGGGGTTATTTTGGGGATATTGGAAAAGAAAATGGAAACTACTATCATGGGTTATATAGTGGGGTGTTTTGTCATCTCTGGGCTCTTTCAATAAGCATCCCACCGTCAACCCCATTTGGGGGTTTCCCAAAATGAGGGGTACTATATTTGGGGGTCCCTATAAAAAGGACTATAGTATTGGGGGGGTCTAAATTGGGTCCCTCTATTTTGGGAAACTGCCATTTATCAGTAACCTCTCAAACCTTCGATTCAGCGCTTGCACAGGCTAACATTGCACAGAGCCGCACATTAACGAGGACTGGGCTCCATCTCCTGTTTTCTAATGCTTGCCTGGGAATTACTCAAAAGACCACAACTGACAGACTTCAAACTGCTGCAGGTGTGCGTTGAGTCCTCCAGCTGCCATCTGTGCTTTCAGAAGCCGCATCTCCTTCAAGCGGGGAGGCAGAGCATCCAGAAGAAACAGTTCCCCGAAGGCCGACTTCGACTTGGTGCATTGCAAGCACGCGGTGCAATCTCATTCTACGGACCATTTGCAACCCAGAAAGAGGCCTAGCAAACTGTCAGGGCCCTTGGGTGGCTACCCTTGCAGCAAGTCTCTAAGACAATGCTCTTTAATTAGGATAATGGAAAATAACATGGGAACTACTAGAATATGTTGTATAGAGGTTATGTAGGAGTTATATCGGGGTAATGGAAAAGAAAATGGAAACGGGGGTGAGATGCGCTAATTGGCATCCCGTGCCCCGCCTGCTGCAAGTTGTCAATGAGCTGATCCTTCTTGTTCTTGTTTTGGACAGCCACTGTTTTGATGCTTTTGACCTCAGGTTGTCCCAGCACTTGCGCACGGATCATGATAGGCATGCAGACTTGAAAGATCTCCAAACAGACGCTCTGGCTTTTTAGCTCTTAGACTTGTTAGAGGCTTTGCAAGGTTCAAAGCAACCACTTGCAACCCCCAAGCCCAGATGGCGTACAGCCCTGGCACAAACGAAACTTTCTGTACTCACACACGCGATGCTCAAGGAGGCTTTCAGGCCCTGGCCGACGAAGCAAATCTCAGTGTCGAGACTGTCTCATCGTAGTTGTCCTCAGCAATGAATCTCTCGCTCTCTCGGGGCTAACTGCAATTAGGGTCGGAATGGCGCTCTTCCTCCAAATACCAAGAATACGGACAGCAGCAGCAGCAGCCGCATCAGTAGCAATAAGAGTAGCACTTCCCTGTCCTTGTCACTGGGACCTGCTGGCTGGTCGTTGCTGACTTCCCTCTAAAGAAACCAGTTTGCAGCCGAGTCTCGCTCGCGGGTGAAACTGTAGCCATCATGCCTCAACATAACCCCTATATAATATACTATAGTAGTTTCCAGCTTCTTGTCCATTATCCCTATAAACCCCAACCCTAAACCCTATATAACCATAATATAGTAATTTCCATGTTCTTTTCCATCATCCCTATTTAGCCCCTAAATTACCCCTAGAATGTAACCCTATATCATATAGTAGTCAAGGCCCACTGCAAGGGAAGGACTCCGAGGTTCATGGTAGCCTTACATCTGCTACATACTGTTGATACTAAAAATCCTGCATGACCTTAACATACTATAGTCCCATTATTCCCAAGGTATAAGGTACTTAGGGTCATGCAGGATTTCTAGTATCCACCGTAGGGGTGGTAGTTCCCAAAATCAGGGATATATAGGGGTTAGACACGCGCATCGCACACGTGCAGGCACGGCATATAGGGTTTAGTGTTTAGGGTTTATGGGCTATGTAGGGTTATATAGCGGTATATAGGGGTATATAGGGCTTGAATAGGGATAATGGAAAGAAAAGGGAAACTACTATTGTGTATGGGGGTTGTATTGCGGTTATATTGGGGTTATATACTTCCAAATATCCAAGGGTAGGCTGTGACCGTAATCATCGTTTGCGGAACTTCCTTCACCACCGAGCAACTAGCACGTAGGGATAAAGCAGATGTAAACACTCTGAGCTAGGGTCAGCGTGAGGAGGAACCCAAGGAGGCACATCTGAAGAGACACTTGCAGTAGTACAAGCAGACTAACGCAAATCAATATACTGACAACATATGTGACAATTTCATGTCCTAACGATCGGGACCCGATAGCTACTAGAATGCCTATTAATTGGAGGGGACCGTTTAATCATCCCTAATGTAGGACTGCTTATGCGCCTCTTGACGTGGCGGGGCCCTAGACTATCCAGAACTTCTGCAGCAAAGCAACAGGTCTTTGAATTGCCGGCCAATGAGTCCTGCAGGAAGCTCATGCCCCTGCAGATACACCAAGAATGACTTTACCTCTAGCTTATAAGGACCCAAAGAGAAGGGACAGTTCAGAGAAACCCACGTGTATTCTGGTGCTTGGGCTAACGCACAAAACTTCACAGTTCGGCAAGCATCAACCATTGGAAATCCGAGAATATACCTGTTCATTCTTATAAGCCCCGCCTGGTGCTGTTGTAGCATCATGCGCTCCTGAAATGTACTTCAGAGCTGTCCATATTCTGTGCATCGCTAAAATAAACACGGCCGACAGAATCGGACAAGGAACGACCAAGACAGTACCCGTTACAGACTCCAAACCCCAAGGGCCACACGCTAAACTGTCCTTCAGCAGAAAGGTGAGCTTCGAGGCGCGAAACATAGGGGCTTTCAAACCCCCGCTGCTCTGCTCGGTGAGCATCCTTGGTTAGACTGTGGCATGAGGACTTCCGTCGCAATACGTAGAATCTTGGCCACGAAATGCACAGGATTCCGCAAGGGCCCCCTGAAGGATCATCTTGCGGATACTGGAAACCAAACCCTTGGCACCCAGGCAGGCAGAAGCATGCTTTAGACTGGAATCAGATTGCATTGCATGCCCGGCAGCGAGCGCAAGCTGTTTTTCCATTGAGCGGTGGTGTGACTTGTCTCCACCGGATTAGACTGTGCTAGATTCTCAATGCAGCATCATGCAAATCGCGCAGCTAAGAATGCCTTGCCCTCTTCGCATCTTGTTGAGCGGCAGCTAGCTGTAGCAAATGAATGACGTTTGCTTTCTTGCGCGCACATGCCCAGGATAAAGCTGTGTTCCCGTCTTCATCTTCCACATTCAGATCAGCCCTGGCTTTAAGCAGCAGGTACACGACATCCGGATCCCCCTTCTCAGCTGCTGCCTGCAATGATGTTGAACCGGCACAAAGCTTTTCGTGGTCTGCGTTCGCATCCAGCAGCATCTTGACCACTGCAGGGTGGCCTTGAAGACAGGCCATGAACAAAGCTGTTGCACCATCATGGTCGACTTGCTCCATGGAAGCCCTGGCCTGCAGAAGCAAGTGGACTATATCTACACGGCCGAACTCACTTGCCATTAACAGTGCAGCTGCTCCATCGTTGGCGGGTGTGTCCAGAGCAGCCCTTGCCTCCACTAGGCTCTGGGCACATGTTGTGTGACCGTTCCGAACGGCCATAAGAAGTGCAGTTGCTCCACCATTTGCTGCCATGTTCGTGTCTGCGCTCGCCTCGAGCAGGATTTTGACAGTGCTATTGTGTCCATTCTGACATGCCAGCAGGAGCGGTGATGTGCCATTTGGCGTGGTGTGGTCCATATTGGCACGAGCTGCCAGTAGAGTCCGAACAACATCGCCGTGCCCCCTCTGAGCTGCCCTGTGCAGCGGAGTTGCGCCTTGGCGCAAACTGGTTTTGCTGTGGTCAGCACTGGCCTCTAGCAGTAGGCTCACGATGCTCAAGTCGCCGACGGTAGACGCCACAAGCAGGGGCGTCATGCCACTGCTGTTGCACTTGTTCTGGTTGGCTCTGGCTTCTAGCAATAGTAAGACAACTTGGCCGTGTCCCGCACTGCATGCAAGATGCAGGGGCGTCTCGCCGCCTTCGGAGTCAAGCACCAAGTCTGGGTCCTGAGGTCTGTATAGGATAAATTCTACTTCCGGCAGCATGTTGTTCAAGGCGGCTGCTAGCAATTCCTTCACCTCATCGTCCTGCACAGGAGAGAATGGAAGCAGTACCAGTTGCAGCTCCGCTGGTCTGTCCAGCACGGCGTCATCATTCAGAACTGTACCATCTTGTAGCAGCAGCCTTTGCCTAAATCTGGGCTGCCCGCAAAGGCTTTGCAGGTATAGCTTGAGAGCTCTGGTGGGATGGTCGGCCATATCAGCGCCCTCCGCCATCTGCGTGAGCTCTGCGAGCTTCAGCGTACAGACCGGCTCCCCCGAGGACATGCGAATACAGAGCATCCGTATTTGCCTTGTTTCAAATGATGCTCCCCCCTTTTGAGACGGAGCCTGGCTGACTGCAGGGGCTAGGAGATTCTGAGATGCTATTTTCACGGTTATAGTCCCCCTTAAGTAGATAGAAGATGGCTATGGGTATATTAGAATAAGATCCCCATATACCCCATATTTTATCTACTTAAGGGGCGCCCTATTATTATGTAGTCGTTTCCCTTTTCTTTTCCATTATCCCTATATAACCCCAAAAATAGACCCCATGTTCTATTTACTTAAGGGGACTACAAAGTTCCACTCCGTTCGCCTACAACGCAACTTACTCAGTTCAAACCATCCATCCTTCAGAGCTCTGAGTATTGACAGATTGAAGAATGGGGCTTGCGTAGTATATTATGTTATAGTATAATCGTATAGTTATAGCATATTGGGGAATAAAATTTTGTGCTATATAAAAATTATAGTTGTAATATGATAGAGTAAATTATGATATGTTGTATCTACCCTAGAGCGGCACCAATGAGGTAAGGCAATGGCCTGCAGTGGTCCAAGCATGTTTCAGCAGGGCCTGGCAAAGTTCAGACCTGGCTACACAAAATGCAGGAAGATGATGAACGAAAATTCACAGGTGGCGAAGCTTGGCAGATGCGAGATTTCGTAAGCAATGCAAGAGTGGTACCAACTTGGACAGTCAGCAGGGGAGAACGTACACCAATACCTCAACAATTCAGCATACAACCCACGGGCTTTGCACAGCAGTGTAGATGTAGTTCAGGCTCCGCCCTTGCGCAGATATCTTCCACACTTCTTGAAAGCGGCAGATTTAGGCGGGCATCATTTGATTCTAGCATCCCAACTCAGTAACTACGACACATCTTTTCCTCTCCGATCCATCTGCATCCCCTACACAACTCCTATGCAATCCCTCTGGAGCACCCTAAACCTGCCCTCAACATAATGCTTCGCAAAAAAATATGTCCTGACCTCCACCCCAACGAATGGCATGTCCCTGGTATGTGTTGGTACCGCATGGGAGTTTCCATATAATAGGTGCCCACAAAATAGTCCTTTCGATAAGGATTCCCAAAAAAGGATCCGCCAGTTGTGGTAAATCTCCAAATTGATAATATTACTTCTCCCTGGACCCTGGATGTCCTACCTTTTTGGGGATATGCCTATAAATATGTAAGACGAACCCAAAGGGTCCAGGTCAGGCCGTTGGTGTGTGTTTTATTCAAGGGGGGGGAAGGATCCTGAAGAGGCCGAGGCTCTTGATCACCAGGCCAAGTTGGGATAAACTCCTTGGCACATGTTCTTCTTAAACCCTAAACCCTAAACCCTTTTTGCTTTTGGGTTTAGGGTTTAGGGTTTGACCCTAAACCCTAAAACCCTAAAATCTTAAACCCTTAACCCTGAACCCTAAACCTAGCTGGGATTGGGAGTCTACCTGGCTTTGTGGAATGTGTGTGAATTATGTACGCATCGCCCAGCAGGGGTTGTAGTGTAGGTGCCTGGGCAAAAAAAGAAACAGAACATGAGACGTATAGCCACGGATGAAGGGTTATCTGGGTCTTCTGTAGCAATTGTCTATGCGCTCCCCTAAACCCTAAACCCTAAACAGCGTATTTCTCGCCAGGCCAGGCGTAGGGTTCAGCACTCCCAGTTTAGGAATTTGAGCTATACTCTAAACGCCTAGTATCCCCCCTTAATAACCCCTGTAGTGATCCCCTATATAATTCCTAAAAGGTAGTTTTCCAAAATAAGGGGACCTCAATCTAGACCCCCAATATACTCTACGCCTTATTATGGGGACCCCCAAAAATTGTACCCCTAATTTTGAGACACTCTCATAAACCCGCTTTTGTAACCCCCTTTTTATCATCCCCCTTTAAGGAGTTTTGACTATAGCGCACTTGGCTTTTGGCACTAGAGCCGCAGGGCACCACCAAGAAAGAGACCAAAAAGAGGATCAGAGACGGACTTCTTCGGATCAGCCAATTGCAGTTTGGGGTTTGGGGTGTAATAGCCACTGCTTGGGGTTTGGGGGGAAATCATTTTCGGTGTATTTTTTTGAAATTTTGAGGTGAAGGAAATTTGAGAAGCCTAAGTAATGGTAAGTTTATATGGGCTGGATGGTTGAGGATCTGGGGTTTGGGGTCTAGGGTTAGCTTCCACCTGAAACTTGAAACCTGTGACATCGGGAACTGTAAGGTGTATCTTGCAGGTTAGGTGTTGGTTTAGGAAACTTTTGAGTGACTGATGGTGGAGGCTGCATGAGAAATCCTTGCTTGGTGGAGACGTGAAACTCCTCATAAATCCGGCCATAGGCACTCAGCAGCACAGAACTTGTTCAAAGAGTCAAAACCCAGCAAGTCACCGAACATTGTGAAACCCTAAACCCTATATAACTCTAATATAATAGTTTCCATGTTCTTTTCCATTATCCCTATAACACTATAACACAACCCCATATAATATAGTTGGGAAACTTCCCATCCTAGAGGTGGCGACTTGGCACTGGCACTATCTCGCAATTCCTTCCCTCGCACGCTTCCAAACCAGTGCCCGCACAGTCTTCCTCCAATGATGCTGCTACCGCTATATGGAGGTTTCCCAAATTATGGGTACTTTTTTGGTGGTCCCAATAACAAGGACTATAGTATTTGAGGGTCTATATTGGGGTCCCCAATTTAGGGGAATTGCCATACTCTGTTTTAACTAACCCCGAAATCCCGAAAAACCCTCTACGAGACAGGAACCCATGAAGCACTAAATCCCAACGCCGCCAGGCCAACCCTCGGCAAGCCATCAACCCTAACATGCCTCACCCCTGAAAGCCCGAAACGGCACGCCTAAACACTGACCGCACTGGGCCAAGGGCTGATTGATGGCACAGCCTTCTTTCAGGCGCTCGTTCTCCGTCTGCGCCTACGAGCCCCATGTCATGTCTCCACAGGTGGTTATAATCCTCTCCCTCGTTAGATAATGGTACCATATTAGGAATGTTTGCTGTCCTGGGAAGCTTATGGTTCAGGGGAGGGGATCCATTGTAACCATAAATAACCAGAGCAGTGATGTTTGAAATGGCGGCAGAGTGTAAGGAATAGTGGTCACATCAATCTTTAAGATCTTGTGCAGATCGGGGAATGAACCAACCCTCGCACCTGATCATGATTCGGATCCACTACATGAGGTGCATACTCGGCAGGGGAAGCATCCAAGCGCATACAAAGTCTATACGCAGTCAGAGAGCCATCCCCAAACCTAAACGCTAAACGGAAGGGAGCATCAGGACAGATGAGCTCCAGAGTGAGTCTTAAGTAGCTCTGGAATTCACCCCGATTTAACCCTAAACGCTGGTACCCCCGTGCAATGAGCATTGCCTTTGACGTGCGCTCACTCCCTGCCAGATCGATAAGGTTGATCTTGGCCTGGGTTCAGAGTTGGAATTTGGACCCTCACAGTTCCCTAATTTTCCATGTGTCGCCACATACATGTTGGGATGTGACGGGCATGCTCTTAAGAAACCCAAACCTCCAACTGCAGCACAACAGATCTCGCTCTGGTTAGGTGGCACAGTATTGCAGCCCAGCAACATGCAAGGACTTGCGCTCATCTTTGTCGTTCCGGCCCTTTGGGCGTTCGCCCTCAAGCTTGTTCACTGTGATGGTGAAGACAGCCTGGGAAGTGTCTCTGGCACTACAGAATTTACATTTTCGCTTGTCTACCAACCTCTAGCTCAAAATTAAGGCATAACCCCAAGTCTCTGGACCCAAATTATTCAAACACTTTCCATCTGCGCCCACCGGCAGAGAGAGAGATCGCGCCCATTGCTACGCATGAGGTCCACAGTGCCATGAAGAATTCAGCATCTTCAACATTTTCCTGAATCACACCGAGGAAGCGTGGGAGCGCGAAGAGCTTTGGTTCATGTTTGTGGCAGCGATAGTTCTCATCTTCAGCCCATACTCCAAATTGCCTCGGGGCAAAAAGGGTTTAGGGAGGGGATATATTGGGGTTATATAGGGATAATGGAAAAGAAAATGGAAACTACTATCTTATAATATAGATAATTCTCTTAAAAGCCCCTGATTCCTCCTCTGGGTTACGAGAGCTTAGATAACCTTCTATGCACAGGAGTTTCCATGGGTGAGGGTGCCTTTGGGGGGGGGTTCCTTGTACCAGGGATTATAGCATATTGGAATTATTGGGGTCCTCCCCTCCCAGAAACTACCATACTCTACTGTCAAGAGAGGCATCCGTCTTCGTCAGCTGTGGCTCAGGTCATTGAGGGTTTCCTCAAAACCGGAGCCTCCAAGAGGTCTCTAGGATAGTAAGACGTCCCAGCTGAGGCTTGCATGTTTCATAAGAGATATTTGACAGACACCCATTTCAATAGCCACCATGGCTGCAGACTTTTGAGCCTATGGCCCAAAAGTCTAGAGAAGCCATGGTGCTCATCACATCCTGCTTCGTAGCACAGGGCATGAGGTATAGGCCCTTGACATAGACGCCCAGCTTGGGATGCTCCTTAGATGCAGGACAATTTAAGCTGTTGGCTTCCGATGCTGGCATTCCTGGAGTTTGGATATCCTAAGAGACCCTGGACCTCTAGGGGTTTGTGAGATTAACATGGTCCCCCTTACAGATTTTGCAGGGGGTCTTTTGAGAAACTCCCGTGTGAACATACAACGATCCACATCTGCTTCCTGGTTTGCATACATGAAGGCGTTTGACTTTGCAAACGGCACAAGCTCTGCATCCTGCCTTCTTGGCCCCTTCTGACCTAATACCTCAGAGTCTGCAAATTGGACCCCCTGTAAGGCAAACAGGCAGCCATGATCTTCAAGTTTTCGCCCTGCACGATGCATGCAAGCGACAGCAACGCGCTTCATGTGTCACAACAATCAACCAGGCCAATTTCAGCAATTGCCGACTTGTGACTGACCAGCGCCATTGTTGTTTTACTTGCTTTTGTTGAAGCCGTGCTTGGCTGAAGCATGTGACTGGGTCATCCTGTGCTCCGCACTAGGAAAACACTGCATCACCGTGGAAAATCCCACTCCGCGAACCCACGAAGGAGGCACTGCAGAAAAAGACAACAGAATTCCTAAGTCATACATGTTTTATCTAGTATACTGCCAACTTAGACCAGTTGTTGCTGCTCTGCTTTCGTATCCCCCGCCTCCCCTAAACAGGCTGTCGGGCCGTGAGACTACTGTAGGGACCTGAATAATTACCAACACCGTGGTCCTAGGTTCCTTGTACCGATACGGCATTGGGTACCTCAACTAAGCTTCAACTGATATTGGCAAGGTCCCTCACAATAACTTCGCTGGGTTGGCCCTTAAAACCCTTTGAAAAATATTAGTATATAGGGTCCCTTATTGAAGCCATTAGGGAAAATGTTAAATATCCCAGGGGCCTACCCAGTTCAACAAAGAATGGCCTTTGACTCCTTGTTCGCACTGAGGGAGGCAAAGAGGTCCGTCACCTGCTCCTGTATACAACGGCTTGAATCTGGGGGTTTAGGGTTTAGGGTGAATAACGGGACCTTTAAAAACGTGCGCAAGGCGAGGAGTGGTCTTGTACTTGGTGCCCTATCAAGGCGCATGATTTTCAAAGTAACCACTTTACACCCTCAAATTCAAATCCTCAATGTACCAGCGGGACAAGTCTCCTTGTAGATCTCCAGATAAGAGATTCGGACCTGGAATGGCGCAGGTTCAAGGAACGTCCTTTCGGGCTGTTTCATGGCTTCTGAGGCGTGTGGACAAGTTTCGGGTTGGGGTGCTTATCATGACCCGCAATTATGCTGCTTCTGGCATTCCACTCGGCTCTAAACCCTAAACCCTAAAACATGAATTGAGGGTGTCTGGAAATTGAGGCATCCTTTTCTGGGCCTCCCCCACTCACGGAGACAAATTCTTATCATCAAATCCTGCGGATCTGGAAGATGTGCATACCTCTAGGCATAGCGTGCAGGGCAGCGCTGACAGCAATGACGACCCCTGAAACCTGCAGTTCTCAGGAATCAGGAAAGGCTGCTGAAGGTGGCTTTCAGCTTTTCGCAATGGCCGTGATTCTTTCAGTTGGGGGCGGCATAACAGTGGCACAACGAATTCCACTTTCCTGCCTCGCAGAATAAACTGCAAGAACTGCAAAGCAACACCATTCCTATGACAGAGCTGCTCCATGTGCGAAAGCTTCGAGAAATCCAACAATATGCCCTTAGAGCTCAGCAGCCCAGAAGAACAACAACTTCCATTCTATAGTATATCATGATCTGTTGCATCTGGCAACATGGATTTTTAACACCTACATAATAATGTCTTCTTGCAGCGTCTCATGATTATGACATGTTGTATTATACTATGACCTCTGGTTGTTGCTATCTTCATCATAGTGAGCACTACTGCTATTATTAGTATCGGAATCGTGGTAACAGCAGCAATATAGACCCCAAAGTAGTATAATCCTTAAGTTAATATGGAGACCCTCAAAATGGCAACGCCAATCTAAGGAAACCCTCGTTCCTATCCGCCAGTTTCCCGTTCATGTTCCATTTCATTCTCCATCATTGGGGTAGTATCCCAATACATCCCTATATACCCCTTTAAAGGGACCTAGGGCTTCCACGTAATTTTCCATGTTCTTTTCCAAAAACCCTAAACCCATCATTGGTACTGTAAGGCCTGAAGCTCCACCAGCGGCTCCTCCTCCAACCTCTCCTGATGAGAGGGTTTAGGGTTTTGGTTTGGGGTTTGGGGTTTAGGATGGGCACAAGGAGCGCAGCAAGAAAAAGAACTGAGGGGCACAAAGATTTTATTAGGTCTAAGGTTTCCCGAGATTAGGGACACCTTTTTGGGGGTCCTATAATCCTATAATAAGGTTTATAATATCACAAGGTTGAAAATGGTAGATTTAGCAAGGGTAAAGAACGTTGCTCTCCACAGGGCTGCGGCTGTGAAGGCAAGCTCTAATCATATCATGCCGCAGCCTGCATGCCCGTTGCATTCCCGCATTCAGGTCTTTCGTGCCTTCTAGCACTTCGGGAGTGATGGGATCATGCTTGGTCTATCCAGTTTGGATGTTGCACTTCTGGCAGGGTGAGCTCAGGCGTGAGTGCCGAGACTCACACAGAAAATCTCGCGATTTCGCAGCCAAGTGCGACGCTTGAGGGAGCCTGGGCCACTTCCAGGGCTCTTCCCATGGA